ATACATACAATTTTATTCTTTTCAACTTTTTTAAATGTTTATTTATTTTAAGAGAGAGAGAGAGAGAGAGAAATCATGAAATCATGAGCAGGAGAGGAGCAGAAAGAGAGGAGGGGGATTCCCAAGCAGGCTCATTGCTGCCAACAACAGGCCTGACCTGCGGCTCAATCTCACAAACCATGAGATCATGACCTGAGTTGAAATCAACAGTCAAACACTCAAATCACTGAGCCACCCAGGTGCCCCCATACACATGTAATTTTAAAAGAAATGAGATCACACTATCCTGGCTGTTGCATGCCTGTTTTTGTTCTCAAGAATATCTGAGGGTTAAAGGTATACAGCCAACTAGTCTTTGACAAAGCAGGAAAGAATATCCAATGGAAAAAAGACAGCCTTTTTAACAGATGGTGCCGGGAGAACTGGACAACAACATGCAGAAGAATGAAACTAGATCATTATCTCACACCATGCACAAAAATAAACTCAAAATGGATAAAGGACCTGAACGTGAGACAGGAAACTATCAACACCCTAGAGGAGAAAGCAGGAAACAACCTCCTTGACCTCCACCACAGCAACTTCTTACTTGACACATCCCCAAAAGCAAGGGAATCAAGAGCAAAAATAAATGACTGGGACCTCATCAAGATTAAAAGCTTCTGCACGGCAAAGGAAACAACCCAGAAAACTAATAGGCAACCAACAGAATGGGAAAAGATAGTTTCAAATGACATATCAGATAAAGGGTTAATATCCATAATCTATAAGGAACTCACCAAACTCCACACCCGAAAAACAAACAACCCAGTGAAGAAATGGGCAGAAGATATGAACAGACACTTCTCCAAAGAGGATATCCAGATGGCCAACAGACACATGAAACGATGCTCAGCATCCCTCCTCATCAGGGAAATACAAATCAAAACCACACTTAGAGACCACCTCACACCAGTCAGAGTGGCTAAAATGAGCAAATCAGAGAACTCTAGATGCTGGCGAGGATGTGGAGAAACGGGCACCCTCCTACACTGTTGGTGGGAATGCAAACTGGTACAGCCCCTCTGGAAAACAGTGTGGAGGTTCCTCAGGAAACTAACAATAGAACTCCCCTAGGACCCAGCAATAGCACTGCTAGGAATTTACCCAAGGGATAAAGAAATGCTGAGGCATAGGAACACATGTACCCCAATGCTCATAGCAGCTAAATAGCTGCTCAACAATAGCTAAAACATGGAAAGAGCCTAAGTGTCCATCAACGGACGAATGGATCAAGAAGATGTGGTTTATCTATATCATGGAATACTACATGGCAATGAGAAACAATGAAATCTGGCCATGTGTAGCAACATGGATGGACCTTGAGGGGGTTATGCTGAGCGAAATAAGTCAGGCAGAGAAGGACAAATATATGTTTGCACATATAGGAGGATTAGGAGGAACTTAACTGAGGACCATGGGGGAGAAGAAGGGGGGAAATGGTGGGGGAAAGGGAGAGAGGCAAACCATGAGAGGCTCTTGAATACTGAGAAACAAACTGAGGACTGATGGATGTGGGGGGGAGAGGGGAGATGGGCATGGAGGAGGGCACTTCTAGGGATGAATACTGGGTGTTATATTGAAACCAACTTGACAATAAACTATTTGTAAAAAAAAAAAAAAAAAGAATATCTGAGGGTTGCTGAGGGAAGATGGGTGGGGGAAGGGCTCAATGGGTGATGGACATCAAGGAAGACACTTGTTGGGATGAGCACAGGGTGTTATATGTAAGTGATGAATCACTGGGTTCAACTTCTGAAACCCTTACTACACTGTGTGTTAACTAACTTGAATTTAAATTAATAAATTTTTAAAAATTAAGAGAAAAGAGAGAGAATATCTTTCTAATCCATTCAATAGAGATCTCCAAGCTCATTCTTAGACAGGCACTAACCTGAAGCCATGTGTTCTGCGTACACACAGAGTGGTGGTAATAAGTGGTTAACAAAAGAAAAGATTAACATCTGCCTTAAATAATGACTTAGATTAAAAACTGAAGTGAGCTGTGAGTTTCAAGTGGATTTTAAAAACAATTAAGCAAACACCAGAGGCATTTGGTTCTTTTTCATGTAAACACTGGGGAGAAGGGAGGCCTGGGCTCCTGCGTTGCTGTGCGGCACACACCCCATTCCCTAAATGGCTATTACTTGAGGAATGTGAAACTTCTGGAATGAACTTTTAATAAAATGAGAACTCGCCAGTAAACCTCAGTACATTTTCAGGGTTTCAAAATCTTATTTTATCTAGATCACAGCTCTTTCCATCTTGGCTTCAAAAAGTGATTTCTGAATGTTAAACAAATATGAAAACGGTGTGCCTGCACTCAGTCCGGCTCTCTCCTGCCAGCCTGGGGGTTCATTCTAGAGGCCACACATGTGCAAGTCCTTCTTATCTGGAGGCCACCATGCCCCGGGATGTGCCCATGGGCCGCAGACCTTACTAGCCGAGGCCCCACTTCAGGGGACACTTAAGGGACCTTTATCTGGAAGTCCGACCTCATCACTTCTGGGATTCATTTCCACACTGGCAGAAGTCATGAGTGTGGATGAAAAGCTGTGAACATACCAACATTATTTTAATTCATCTTTATATTCTTCTTCTTTTTTTGGCTGCCACTTAGAAAGTCAAGAGTGTTTTTGCCACTCCACTCCGAGATAATGAAAATACATTTATAGTAAGAGAATCTGCCTCATATAAACTTCTGCTGGTTGAAGGAGATAATATTCACCATTTCAAACTTGGAATAGAGTTTATAAAGTTGGCTTTGCTCTGAAAGTGGTCTCAAATGATCTGATATGACCTGATGGTTTCTGTGTGTCACAGAAAGCTTTGGGGGGAGGGGAGGGAGGGGTGAAGACCAGACGGCAGGGGTGGGAGGGTGCACAGCTCCACAGGGTCAAGGGGAGAGAGTCCGGCGAACACAGAATCCAGGCACCAAGGATTAGGAAAGAGGCAGGCAGGATGGCCAACCTAGCAAGAGTAAGGCCCCTAAGCAGACCAATGTGGTCCCAAGCTGGTCACCAAGGACTGAGTTCAAGAAGGCAAGTTTATATAAAGTGGGCTGGGTCTCCTGATTAGAGAAAACCCCATTGATCAAGCCTGAAGCCCAAAATAATGTCCCAACTTGCCACTGGGAGAAACAGCTGATGGGTCCCACAGAGCCACCTCAAGCCCCTTTTTCTGCAGAGCAGAGAAGGTGGAGAGAATTCACTTGGCCCCACTTGGGAGAGAAGTACAGTTAGTGGGGCAGGAACCTAGCTGACCAGCCATACCACTCTTCTCCCCCACTTCCACTTTTTTCCCTGGCAGGCAGGTTACTGACCAAAGCAAATTGGTTTTCGCTATAAGAAGCACTACCAGTAGTGAGTCGTCATTTTATTAATAAATAGCTTTTATATAATAAGCCATACCACTCTCTCTAGGCTATCAGTTTTTGTTTTCTTCATATCCATGGCCTTTAAAGCAGTGGTTCTCAAACACAGACCCAAGAACAGCAGTATCAGTACCACCCAGGAGCTTATTAGAAATGCAAGTTCTCAGGTCCTACCCCAGCCCTGGGGGTCTGGGTCCAGCAACTGTGCTTTTAATAAGCCTCCAGGAAACCCTGATTCAAGCTAAAGTTTGAGAACACTGGCCTAGTGGAAGGAACCTGGGCTGGGAGCCAGGAGCCCTAATTCAGATTCCAGCTCTGGATTCCATGATCCAATTCAGTGACATTTAATGAGCAGTCGCGATGTGCCGCTGCAAGGATGTGAGGGTACTGAGATGAGTTGGGCATGGTTCTTATCCTCAGATGGTGTCGCACTTCTATATTCTTTTGTTCCTCTAGGGTACGGGCTACTTTGTTCCTGTCTGTATTCCCAATGCTGGCAGCGTCAGAGACACTCAATATATATGCAGGGGACCAAGTGGTAAAGCCGGTCACAACAGTGATAAATGCTACTGTACCATTCATCAATAACTTTAATGTCACTCCAGTCAACACTAGCCACCCTTTATTTTAATGCCTATTGTGGGCCAGGTATTGAATGTCATATACCAGCTCATTTGATTCCTTGAGATGTCCTACACTGTGGGTAATACTGTTAACCCCACTTTGCACAATAAAAAACCGAGGCTCCAAGTTTTAAGCAATTTGTCCAAGGTCACGCATTGAAAGTGGCCGAGCCAGTGATGAATTCAGCAATACCTGTTCCAAAACCTGTGGTCTTAAAAATAATAGAGTCCTTTTTCGAATCCCGCAAGCTCAAAAGCTGACTTTGGGGTAAGTTTCCAGCCTCAAAGGTCAGGGGATGATTAGCTTCTTATTAGGTACTTAAAACTATACTTTGTGGGTCTTCATCCTAAGTGGTCAAAGACTATATTTTTCCCATTTTTTGGTATCTTGACATTGGGTGTTCGTTGAGTACAAGAAAGTAAATAGTGGTGAAGTACACTAATAGGTCACCAGACTATTCTGATCCTTATTGTAGGAAAACAAAAGTGGGCAGGCAGGTCAGGCAGCACAGCCTTGAGAGAGCACTGAATGAGAAGGCCAGTTCTAAGGGGCTGAACCTTTGATGGAGTATCCCAACTAAGGCAGGCCAGGGAGAAAGGGGGTAGAGAGGAGTCTAGCCCCTAGGCCCAAAGGCATGGGGAGGCCAGGTTATGGGCATCAGATCATGGGCCAGTATGGATGCAGAGGGAGATAAGAAGCTGCCAATGATCTGAAGTCAGTCGAAGGCTCTAGCACCTGGCATGGTTACAGTTACTGATAAAAGAATGGCCCTTCCTCCCTCACCATTTTGGCACTCTTCACAGCTTCCTCTTTGTCCTCACTGTAAATCAAAGACAAACTTCACATCTGTCATCTACTATTTTCTTGTGAACAATTCAGGGCCAGGAGGGCTCTGGTTAGGGTCGCTGGAGGCTAGGAACTGAGGAAAGGAAAAGGGGATGTATATGATAAGCAAAGACCTTACCTTACTAGGAGGTGGTCCATGATCATCCAAGTAAGTGGAATTTCCTAGGGAAAAAAAAGAAGAAAGTTGATGAATCAGTAGTTTCAAAACCAAAGTGAATTTAGTGTACAGTCATTGCAAACAAACATTCCAGATATATGTCTATTTAGACAACTATACCAAAGAAAAATAGGTAGGTAGTTGCCCATTTGGTGGGATTTTGTTGACATTACCATGCTCAATTATACTTTCATCAGGCACAAACACTGTACATACGGTGTGTGTGTGTACACAGACACACACAGAAACATGCACCACAATCCCTCACCCAGTATCTATTGAGTTTACTTTAGACCAGTGGTTCTCAAATCTCAGTGTGCATCAGAATTACCTGTAGAGCCTGTTAACACACAGACTGCCTGGGTCCACTCCCAGAGGTCCTGGCTCAGTGGCTCTGAGGATCTGTACTGCACAAGCTCGCACAAGCTCCCAAGTGATGCTGATGCTGCAGGTCCTGGGACCATAATTTGAGAACCACTACACTGTTTCTCCACTTCATCTTGATGCTCAATGTCCCCTGATCTTTTCAGTCTAGCTTGCTTCAGATGCTTGATCTGTCTTGATGAAGAGCCATTCATTGGCTTGGGTGCTTTCAGAGTGCATGATTATTAATTCCTGATGAATAAAGACTCAGAGGGATTCGGATGGGAACTAAAGGTCCCAGAGTTTCTTTTATGCAGCAGACTCCTTCTAAGTGCTTTCCACCTCTTCATTTAATACAAATTTCGGAGGTGGGTTATAATGGTCCCTACGTATAATGGTCCCTACGTACAGAGGAGGGAACAGAGGCCTAGAGAAATCCAGGGATTTCCTCAGGGTCACACCCAGTTACACTGCAGAAAAGACAGAAGACTGTTTCTTCCAGAAGTTGTTTGAGCATCTGCTGCCCATCTTTCTGAAAAACCTACCTACCAGCTTCTGCAGAGCCCAGGCACCAGCAACATACTCTGGGTACTGATCATGTGCTCCAGATACCAACCAAGCAACACACTTGAGCCCGTGGGGTAGCCTAGGATGGGCTCAGTGTATTCAAAAGCTCCCCTCCAAGGAGATTAAGCTTGTCAGTCAGAGGAAATCACCTTCACAAAAAGTGAAGACAGTCAGCCTTTCTAACATGACAAAATTTTAAAAATATTGGAAATACATGGATACCTAGAGAGAGCAGTAGCTTAAAGAAAAAGGTAACTGTCCCAGGTGGAGGAGATAAAAGGTGATTTTTTAGAAGAATGCAAAAGTGACTCTGGAAACTGGAATAAAGAGAAGTAGGGGGCGCCTGGCTGGTCCAGTCAGAAGAGCATGTGACTCTTGATCTCAGGGTCATGAGTTTGATCCCCATGTTAGGTGTAGAGAATGAATGAATGAATGAATGAATACACTTTACAAAAAAAAGAGAAGTAGAACTTAGAGACAGTTCAAATGGGAAACTTACCCAAAAATAGCAAATAAGTAGATTTAGGCCTATAGGATTTTTTTAACTTCTTCCATACTAGGGCATCAGCCATCCCTCTTTCTTTGATGTCTTCTGATCCAACGCCCACTTGACTGTACTCTAACTGGCTATTTGTATACAGTGAAAGGACAATGAGGCCCGATTTTCATGTATAAGACATGCAAACACAAACACCTGGCACATTCATGTTGGGTTATTTTCAGGAATCTTTGAAATGTGAATATGATTAATGATTTGTTTCATCTTAATTATTGTGCTGCACTCCAGTGGGAACACACAGACACAGGAAGTGAGATCTCTATCTGACTTAATAAAGAGGATCTGCATGAAAGAATTCAGAAAGATGACTGCCTAAGTCTAGAGAAATATTCAGAACTATTCTAACATAATATAGTCAGTATAGGCACAGAAGGTTCTCATCACCTCATGTAAATGTGCCTTCCCAGGATGGACACAAGAAATCCCAACAAACCTCAGCATGTTCTCCAGGTACCAATCTCAGGGTTCAAAGGCAGCTCAAACAACTAATAGTTTCTGAAATACTAGAAGCTTCCAGAAGAAACAAAGTTCCTAAAAATGGGTGACTTGAATGCCTGACTTTTCCTTCAAACTCCAGGCTCAGCTACCACTGACTCCTTAGCACCTTGGCTTAGATATCTACAGGCATCTCACACTTTGTCAGTCCAAACAGAGCTCTATTTGTTACAATTTCACCCCCACCCCCGCCCAAACTGCTGCCTTATCTTCTTTATCTGGTTACACAACACATCCTTTCCCTGTGGGCTCTAAAGCCCAAGGGTCATCCTTGACCCATCTCTGTCCCTTACTCAATCTACCAACCCACTCACCAGTCCCACTGGCTCAGCCTTCAAAACATTACTCAAATCTGACCACTTCTCACTGGCCCCTCTGGGCCATTTGGGAGAACACTTGCATCTCTTCACTGCTTACAAACTGTCTCCTCTACCCATATGGAAACTCGAAGGATCTTCTAACCTTATCTATCAGACCATGTTAGCCCTCTGCTTAAAACCTATTTACCTAAGAACAAAATAATCAACTCTTTACCATGATCTATACCTCCACACGATCCAGGCCCCGCCCTCCAGCCACACCCATCACCAGCCACAACAGCCTTCTCTCTGCTCCAGAACACATCAACTTGTTGGGAGCAAGGGGCCTTTTCAACTAGTTCTTCCCTCTGCCAGAAAAAGCTCTTCCCTACCACCATCATTGAGACTTAGCTCAAATATCCTTCCTTTCTCCCCTTCTCCCTGGGTCCCTTACAGAAGGCTTCACTTCTTTCCTTCTGCACAGAGGAAGGAACAGGGCTGACCAGTGTTGACACACATGCCATGGACCCTGTTCTTTTCTCCACCAGCAGATCCCTGAGTACCCATCGTAGGTAGGTTTATTAAATATTTGTGCTTGTAACAGAGGTACCGAAAGGGAAAAGAAAAGCTAGACACATTTCCTTACTTGGAGATAACAACTTTTTATTCTCCTAGGGCATAAGTATATTATTATCAGGTATATAGGTAGACCTTCCATCCTACGATCTTGTGCTTTCATGGAGCAAAGTAAACAAAACTGTCGCAATCTTCAAACTCGAAGCTGGTAACTTACTGGCTGTGGAGATCAAAGGAGGAGCCCTGTTATCAAAGTGAGCCTCTCTGAACGGGCTCCCGGCCACCAGAAGAGCTCCTGGCTGCTCTGTCTCATGGGGGACTCAACAGAGGGTGCCAAGGTGGGGGAGAAAATCAAACTAAAGTCCTCCAGGCCTTTGGGCTTGGAGCTCAAGCTGTAAATTCAGGAGGAAAAGACAGAGGAGGCTGATGAAGGATCTAGAGCCAGGAGAGAAGACACGGGCTCCCTTGAAACCCACCTCCACCTGCCCTGGGAACCCCAATTTCTGATCCCAGGCCACAGCACCCTGTGAGGCAGTAGCTCTTATTTATGGAGGCCTAAAGGGGCATATCACCTCATTTCTTTCCAGAAAGTAACTCACATCTTTAGACCTTGGACTCCAGCTTCCTGTCTTAAGTCTTTTCTTTGAGGATCAAGGGTTACAGTATCTAGTCAACATAGAAAAAAAGGAAAGGCACAGCCATATGTTTCCACTCCTACCACTGGTCAAAGTTTTCAGAAAGGCCTGTCTCCAAAGTGCCAAGAAATTGCTAGCTAAGGCTGGCATCGAGCTAAACTCTTCCAGACTGCTGAGGTATGGGGAGGACACGGTAGGGACTATTTGAAGCAACACTCCAGGCCTTCTAACTCCATGTGGCTGGCCTATAGCCTGATGGCGGTCATGGTCAAACGATATGGGTTAAAATCTATAGAACTACACATTAAAACCAACACCAACAAAACACTCATGGTTCAATGGTTTTTAAAATGCCCTGACTAGAAAGCAAGTGATCTCAGACTTTGCAACCAGAGAAATTACACCATGTTTTAAATCTCGCCTTACCCATCTAGCCCTTCATTATGGAGACCTCCCCAGGAGGTGGTAAATATAACATGAGAGATCGTGTACAAGTGTGCAAAGGTGTACAATCCAAGTACATGGGAGTTACGGTCTGCACTGTTACTACAGAGTATATGTGTGACCAGGATCTTTGCAGGGCAGTATACCGTTAAAACCTACCCACCTCTGCCATCATACAAGCTATGTGCAGCAAAGATGCATTTCAGGATACTCACGTGATTAAAAATTAGGAGGCCAGGAGTTATGACCTGGAATCTGAAGGTTCCTGACTGATTACTATCTTATAGCCAGGTCGCCAGGTCTACATTGGCAGAACCAAGGCACGCTGACCATACAAGAGCCATCCAAGTCTTCCATGCTAAGAGCAATGACATGAACAACATGACATGAACACATGAACAACCACAATGTATGCCTACACAAATAGGTTTCATCGCACTCTTAATTTTTTTTTAAATTTTTAATGTTTTAATTATTTCTGAGAGAGAGAGGCAGCATGAGCGTGGGAGGGGGGGAGGGGTCAGAGAGAGAGGGAGTTACAGAATCCAAAACAGGCTCCAGGTTCTGAGCTGACTGTCAGCACAGAGCCCAACGCGGGGCTCGAACCCAGGAACTGTGAGATCATGAACTGCACCGAAGTTGGACGCTTAACCGACTAAGCCATCCAGGTGCCCCTCATCTCACTTTTTAATAGAGAATATCTCCCCAAGAAACATCATTCAGCTCTGAATAAATTGCTTTATCCCTTCAAAGTTCTCCATATATACATCTGTAAGAATGAAACAACCTCATAAGTTATTATAAGGGATATGCAAAGGTAATTTCATTCTATAAAAAAAATGCCTAGAACACTACCTGCACATAGTAAGCACCTAGTATGTTTGTTAGCAGTACTAGTTGTACTAGCATTACTAATTATATGACCAGGGGTACTAGTAGTGAAAACCCTCCCCCACTGTCTCTCCATCCTCTGTCTCACTAGTTTTCAACCCTCACTGCACAGTCTGCTTACCTGCAATGCAGGTAAGAGGATGTGGATGCCAAGCCCCAACCCTAGCTCATCCGAT